GTTAATTTACGTCGCACTAGAGCTGCACAATGGGCTATTGGCGACGGTCTGGGAAACATCCCGGAGGATGATCCGAAGACATGCCATCACAATTTTGATCCTCTGCGGAGGGGGTGGCACCCCCGCTTCGGTAGCCCAACGACCTAGTGTTTTCTTGTATTTATATATTTATATATATATATGTTAGTGGTATTATCCCACCCTTTTTGTCGTTGATGTAATAAAATGCGAAAAAATAGATGTTACTGTATCTAAAAGTTTGAAGAAATTTTTTTGACACTTGTCATTTCTTTTTACGAGTCTCATAACGCGCAGTTTTGTTTTCTTTTTAAATTATAAAGTGTAAAAACATAGTTTTTGGAAAATTTTTCAAAAATTAGTTTATTATAAATTTGGAATTTCTGTACTTCTAGCTTTCTGAAATTATTTTACTTTCGTTTGTACTACAATTATTTACAGAGTAATTGCAATTTTTGCGCAAGGTAATAAAAGTGGATATACTAACATGGTGGTTACAACATAAAACAAAATAAAAGTGGACATACTTTAATACCTTAAATGCATTTATCTCAAAATTAGATTTTTTCCCATTTTACACCGCATTATGCACGATGTGTTATGTTTTTAAAATAATTATCTTCAATTTTTTATGCGTGGTCATGGTTTTACCGCGCATGTTTTGAACTATAGACTAACAGAAAAAAAATAGAATTTCATTTTTTGCATGGTTTTTCGCAGGGACAAGTACGGGAATTTTTAAAAATTCTCTTTTTTAACTACATTTATATTCAGTAGTATATACACTTGATTTCAACGTGATAGTTCAAAACACACTTCTAAATAAACTCTTCAAGGGATTTTTAGTTTTAGGCGACAGAAACGTTTCTACTGTGTTTAGCGTATATGCAAAAAATACCCAAGTATTACCTTTACTGTATATAATACTTTAATACTGTACATTTATTTGAATTTTGATTATTTTTTAAGAAACTCAATGTTTCGACTGACAAAAACTGATTTGATTAATGCTGAAAGTGACATTATTTTTTATAAATAAAAGATATTTATCCTTACCACCTTTTTAAAGAATTGCCTGAATTATATTTTTATAATTTTGTAAAAAAAATAACTAAAATTATAGAATAGTGACAACAATATCATTTCCGTCCTAATTGGATGACATTTCAATATCTCACAAACTTTGAAAGATACTGCCAAATATTGTATACTTCAGTTTATTTTTGAAAATTAAATAAAGATGTTTGCTTAAAGTTTGTTTTTATCCTCCTTTGTTGACTAATTTTGGTCTGAAACAAAGTGGTATTTTATCAAAATTAAGTGTAAATCATTTCTTTTCTGTTGAATACGATCACAATATTCAAATTTGTAAATATACCTCAGTTTGTACAATGTGACAGGAACGCTAATATTTAGAGCTATATCATTTAGAATAGTAGCAGAATTTTCTTTTTATGCTTCTTAAATATTTTTCAGTCAAAAATTATTTTATAGAATTTTGAAAACAAATTTAAATAAGTTATTTATTTTACTATACTATTAAATTTAATATAACATTTTAGCATTTATTGATGGAATTCTTCATATGTTTGCTAGCGATGAAATTATGCGTGAGCACCTACTTTTTAACGGTGATTTTATCCGTTTAGAATGTATTTAAATTTCTAATAGCTTTACTTTAAATGCTGCTATTTTAAATCAATTGCTTTCTGCCGTAAACATTTATATACTCTTTTAGATATTTACAAAGAAGACATCAACATATCCCATCGGAATTATATTACACTTCTGAAAGTCATAAATAAGAAATATTTTTCTTCGGAAGAAAATATTTACTAAACTCATAAGGATCATAAATAGAATATTTTTCAAAATTTAAACTTAACGTATGGAATGACATAGTAAACAGTATAAAATAGGAAACCTAAAAGGAGTTTACGATCGACCATTGAATATAAAGAATTGCCGTTCGTGGATTGAATGTTCGTAACCCATTTCCACTTTAGCGCCAGTAAAGAACCGACTTCCATTTTTCTTGAATACATTACATCAAAGATATATATTATGTTCAGTTCACTTTCAGTAAGTCCATAAAGTAGCTATTTCCAACACTTCTTATTATGAAAAATGTTTTTTCTTCCCTCCAAACATATGGATGCATTTGTAAAACTCAAAGAAACATCATTGCATTCGAAGCACTCGGTTTTTCATTTTAAGCTTTTAAAATGTAAGAAAGTCAGTTCTCAATAACAATTTTGTCTTAATTTTAATATGTAACTGCAGATTGAACTGAAGGCTTGAATAATAAACATGCTTGGCGTTTATTATTCATTGCTTTTAGTAAAAATTATAAAACCTTAGTCAAAAATCAAAATATTAGAATCTACATAATAAGAACCACGAGTAGTACTTAGGCAAAAATTCATTATCAAAATCGGGCGAAATATTATCACGGTCAACGATCGTGAAACTAAGGTCATTGTAACTGGCATTTTTGTAGGAAAAACCTTGGAAGAAGGTTTGGTAATTATTTTATGAAGAAAAGCCTTCTAGTTTCGCTTACGAGTAAGTTGTATTTATAGATTTTAAATGTATGCGAGTTCTATATAGTTTGTCTAAAGTAGGAACTACCTTAGCCATTCTTCTGGACCCGTAGTGGTGACTATGGTAATGAGGTATAGCTATTTTAAGTAGGGATGAGATACCATTGTTTAGAACAGGCTTTGGGTCGGGTCGGCGAGAGAGGGAATCTTTTTCTCCGGTCTAGCCCTAGAATGAAGAGAAGCTACCCTTCCTGAAATGCACTATTCTTGTTTCCATAGCAGCAGATAGCCTCTGACTTTATGACGGGGGAAGTTCTTACCGTAGACAAACTATACGTCTTTTTTATAGTACTTTAACGACATTCGCCAATTTTAATGAAACCTTTTCTTTCGCTGATAATTATCTTTAGATTGCACTTTATTGCCTCTGCGAAAGTCAGCTATTTTTAAAAAAAATGTTTTTATAATTTTTTCTCATAGAGCAGCGTAATTTGTTGATAATCTTCGTAACTAATTCTAAAGCTCGTTAAGAAAAATTTCTGTTTTTCTGAGCAGAACGCAGCAAACTGTATATTCTCCATCCCTTTCACTTGAATTGATTTTTCAAACCGTCGCTCATTTTTTAAACATCTAATATAATTTTTAATAACTTTAACTTTATTTTAGAACTAGTTATGTGCATGAAATATATTACTAGCGTTAGCAAACATTTTGCACAATAGATTTCACATGTGACTGTTTAAAAAAAGAAATAAATTAATATTTCAGTAGTAAAAATGGTTTTTGTTGTCAGAAACGAAAAGCTTAACTCATTTCCATTCGGAGTCCCTAAAGTACAATTATTGACATTAAAGTTCAATATAAATTTAAAAATAATGAGAAAGTCAATTCCCCAGCCATCTATTTATTTCATAAAAACAAAAAGCAAACAAATATCAGCCATCGACCAGCAATGCTGACAAAAAACAAAACATAGCTCTTAAACAATAATTAAGTAAACAAACATAACAAGGAACATCACTGGGCAAAAAAATTTATAAATTTCACAAACATAAAAATCCAAGGAATGCATAATTTTTGTTTCCTTTTTAAAGTCATCTTGATGATAATTTGAGGGATAACAAAAAAAAAAGATCCCAGAAATTTATTTAATTGATAAGGAATAAATATTTCAAGGAATAAAAATAGTATATGAATACAGCTTTTTTAATAAAAAAGAAACAAAATGATTAAACTTTAAAATCTAAAATCAAATTCTTATAAATATGTATAGAAATATTTTTGATTGATTTTCTCTTTACAAGTCACAGAAAGATAATATATATTTATAAACAAAAAACGAAAAAAAAATTATTAAAAGTTTTGATTACCACATAAAGCGAAAAATCTATGACCAGCCATACATTTTCCAGCAAATATTTCTATTCATAAGAAAAATAATCAAGAATAAAAATTGTATCACCGGAAAATCACATTTCTATACATAGTTTTTAAACAATGCTGAGAATTCCAGCATCCGTAATAATCCATCACTTTTCTCCATTAAATAATTTCAAATGCAGAATTATTTATCGAACTTTATGAATAGTCGCTCATATTGAATGATATGTTCATTTTCTTTGAATTGTTTTAAAAATATTTCGCCTGAAGATATTTTGGCATTAATTTTCGTTTTAAATACGAATTCTTTATTTTCTGAATTAATTTAGAACTTTAAATTACTGCTTTCTTCAAAGTTTAAAGGCGAATAAACATCCAGAATGCTACCAGTGCAGAAATAAAGGAATTTTGTAACATGACCTTTTGGCAAGTTTTGCCGATCTCAGAATAAAAGATTCAATAATATGCTAAATTGCTTGGTCCTTAATTAAGTATTATATTGACGAAAAATAACTCATTTTTCAAGATAATATTGTTTAACTTGACCCTTTTTTTCAAGACATTTGAACAATACTATAATATAATGTTTCCAAACAATTTATAATTGTTAAAAGCATAGCACCAATATTTCATATTAGAAATTTAATTTTGTTTTCATAACTCTATTTTTCTTTTCAATTTTAAAGTATATAAGTTAACATATAAATTACATGCATGCCTGATCACACAAATACGATTTCACTAATATTAAAAGCCAAATTTTTCGTGATTTATTTTTTGAAGAAAAAAAACATGCATATTGCCTATAAAAAGATCAACTCACTCTTTTGATGAAATCAATAATGTTTTCATAGGGTTGCACAATCAATAAAAAGTCACATTCATAGCACAAAACTAAGCGATCTATCATGAAAAATGTGCTGCATAAAGACATAACAAATGTATAGTTTGAGTTTAAGTCACATTTAATGTTGATAAGTCACACTCATTTCTTCTGAGTTACGCACAATAATGAACTATTTGATTACACGTTTTATGTCATTACTCAAGTGGGAGGCTGTCACCATCTGACTTAAGAATGAGATCAAAAGAGTCGTCCAAAAATTCGGTACAGTCATATACGGCGCCCAGCCCTGCCCCTAGGAGATCTGTAGAATCTATGGCATCTATGGAAGAGTGTTGGTGCATCACGTTGTCCACAAGCCTGTCATTAGGTGCAGTTCCGCTGCCTGCAGCGTCTGCCTGAACCAGGATTTGAGTGAGAGCTGCAATGTAGTTCACAGCTAGTCTCAAAGTGGTTATTTTTGTCAACTTTGTATTGTCATGGCCAGGCTTGGTGGGAAACTGTGGCACTACCTTCCGGAGCTTCTCGAATCCATCATTAATCTCTTGCATACGAGTTCTTTCACGCGCGTTTGCTGTCCTTCTCCTGTATTTGCTCAGAGGTGCCGGTTTTTGTTTTGGCTTCGGCGTCTTTTTGGATATTTTCCGCCGTATTTCTGTTTCGATGCGGTTCTTTATAGACCTCTGCCTCAGATTGTAGTTGGGAAGTTTTATCGAGACGTTTTCTGCACTTTCAGGCACAACGGAATCTTCCGCAGAAGAAGATGATTCTAGGTTGTCTGTGTCCATGGATTTTTGGTCTAACATATCGATTGGGCAATCTGTAATGTTTATTGCGTCACTGCTATCATCGATTTCAGTGTTGAGATCTTTGGAAACGAATATGGAACTGAAATCGAAACTAGTTTCGACAAACTTTGGTGTGTGAAGAACATTGTCTTCCATAGCGTAAGACGTACTGACAGCCATTTTCCGAGAGTTATGATACTCAATTTTGTGGATCCAGTTAAGAGTATGCTAAAACAATATTACAAATGGTATTTATTTCGTACTGGTAATTTCGATGCGTGCTTTCGTCTTCGTGTATAAACACAAATTGCTGCTTTATAGCTTGACATTTGACGAAATACCACCGATTAGTGATTAACACCAGTATTCCTCTCGGCTTCCTTCCCTTTCAAGGTACCTGGAAACAAAAGAAAAACAAATTACCATTTAGAATAATTTTTATTTTAATAATTTTGATAGATACAAAAAAAAAGTATACGAAAAAACTATAGGGGAGAGTGGGGTCAATTGTAACATTTTTTACTTAACTATTTTTAACTAACAAAAAATCCAATATATTATTAGTATTAATTGACAGACGAGTAAAGTAGACTATCCTCTACTAGAAAAAAAAATAAATACCTTATTTTAAATGTTATTATATTAGTTATTAACAATTTTTGACAGTCGTGCACTTGTTACAATTGTCCCCACTTACGGGGTCAATTGTAACAGTTCATAAATTCAACTAAAACATAGTTAATTATACATATTATCATAGTTGTGATATATTTTTTTATTGATCAAAATAGTAGTGATATTTTAGGAGTAAAAATAATAATGAGCAGAGACCTAAAGGGTTAAACTTTTAACTTTAAGGGGTTAAAAATTTTAATTTATGCTGTGAAAGGTGACAAATAAAATAATGCACATGCAACATAATATAAATGATATAGGAAACTATTGGTGGTTCTTAAAGAGTTAAGTAATGGTTTGTAAACATAAGATTATTTATTTTCAGCTGTTACAATCGTCCCTTTACTTATTGTTACAATTGTCCCCAAGACGCCATTTCAGCTTCATTTGTTAAAAACAATGCTAGTTAATTAGCAAAACTAATCTTTTTTTTATTGAAATGTTAATTAAGGTGTCCACTTACATATTCGGTTACTAATTTTTATTTGTTTAAACAAAATTACTTTGTTACAATATAATATTCTAATACCAAAAAAAGTACTTGCGTGGCGTGAAAATATCTTTTGTGATGTAACTCTTTCAAAAGTACATAAAAATGGTTGCCATCAGGGGTGTACATGTAGATTTATTAAATACACCTTGTGCGCCACCTAGGAACCAAATCTAGAACCCGACACTCGAAATTTTTGCTCTGTTACAATCGTACCCTGTTACAATTGACCCCACTCTCCCCTACTTCTGAAAAAACTTAGCAATTTGAATGTAATGTCATTTCAGCAATATGTTTGGAACTTCATTATTTTTAACAAAATCAATCAATACCATGGTTTTTATTATGAAATGCGCGTTGTAGTCAGCTTCCAGCTATTTCTGTATTTCCTAAAGCTATTGTTTCTATGTTCATAAAGCAATCACCTGTAATCTTCTTCAGCTAAGTTAGTCCATATAAAAAATTTTTATTACATAGATTTTGTATAAGCTAATTGAAATCCATCAAAACAGTTTAATGTGATGGAAGAGCTTAGTACTGACAGTTATGCGACAAATAATAATTTTGTAAATTTTGAAACACCAGTAAATTTAGAAACACCAAATTGCAGGAAGATGCTTAAAAGTAAATGATTATTCTACACTTCCTATTAGTAACAATTATCAAAGTAAGTGGTTATTTTACATTTAAAAGTGACTTCAACTTTGTACTAATACATAATTTCTTAGATTAAAAATAACGGTGCATAAAAACATACACTTCAATTGAAAATGCATTTATGAAATAAAATGCCTTTAAAGTCAAATACACGAACCAAACCTCTGTCTCTGTGTGTCTGTCTGAATGTTAGTCTATTTCCTTTTCTATTTTAAACAAATTGTTTTTCGAGAGACACTTACGCTAACCATAACATCAATTTGATGTAGTTCAAAATAGCCGACCCTTACCTAAATCAACGACATTATCATTTCGCAAACTGAACAATAAAACAAGGAAAAACCAAATAATAGAAATCAGCAAAAATAATAATAGCAAATCTTTTCAACATAACAGTCATAAACCACAATGTAGCAAGGTAGCATTAGCGAAATAATGCACTTGAAAATGAGATTATTTGACCTCTCACATCTGAGATCTGCGTATTTCTTAAGCAACCAGTTATCTTCAACACCCCTTTTATAGAATTTTGAACCGCAAAAGATCAGAGTAGTCTTTTGGTTCTTAATTAAAGGGCGTTCTTTATTCTCTGGGGTCTTAGGGATTGGCTGGGATGTCTGTGACCACTAGGTGCAACAATAGGGCACGTGCCCCGAATGAAATACCGTGCAAATAATTAAATGGATGCTCTTTGAATCATTTTGTTATTCCTATTTGCTCGGATTAAATAGTGTGGATTACGCCTTCTTTTTTAATCACAATCTAAATATCTCAGCACTAAACAGGAAACAACAGTGAAAACTGAGAAAGGTTTGTACTCTAAATTTGGAATACTTTCTTTCAAATTTATATGGGAGTATTGTTTGCAGTTAACGAGAAATTTTGTCGAATGGAAAGTGTATACCCAATTTTATTGTGATGTGGAAGGTGCTTTTTGTGAAATGAGTAGACGAACAGTTGCTCTTAAACCAGAATTAATTTTTAGTGTAAGGTAAAATTTAATTAGACATGTATTATTTATGAATATAAAATTTTTATATTCGTATATACACGCTAGATATTTATTAAAAAATTATTTATTTATATGAATAAATTATTTATATGAATAAAAGTCTTGTATTCCAGTTGTCCATGGACATTAAGGCTATAAAATTCCAAGGCACACAGTCTGATGTTCAAAATGGGGCAATCTCCACTGGTTTTTATCCTTTGTCTTCAGCTTTATTTGCAAAAAAAGAACATAGTTTTTTCCTTATTGAAACTTAAGTAATTACATTAATGTTTTAAGTTATAAAAATGACCTTAAAGTTTTTAAGCATTACGTATTCCTTATTCCCATAGCCATAAAAGATGATAAAAACCACGCAACACAAAGTATTTACAATTTCATGCACCAAAGAAAAAAAACATACAGAAATTCATATATACTGAGAGCAGCTCATGATATATTTTATTGCAAATTCCTGGCACATGTCAGCAATAAATGAACGCATGTTTTAAAGTGCAATATATCTAGAAACGAGTGTTTTGTTTAGTATCAGGTGCCAGCATTCTATGGGAGAGGAATTTTCATTTTAAAATACCTCTCAAATATGAACAACTGTTTCATGCAAAGTTTGAATAAAATGACTGCTTGTATATATAAATGCACTCCTTTTTGTTATGTGCGTATGCCATGGTGAGAAAAATGAAAGAATTTTAGTGATAACAGAAAGTATTTTCCATTTTTCAATTGGAAAAAAATATCTTGGGAAATGCTGTGTTTGAAATATATTGCAGCAGAAGAATAATCACTGGGTCAAATAACTTTTTGCTTTGCATCTATAGAAGCAAAAGCTTATCAATATTCAATCTTTTGAATTTTATCTTTTTCATTATACAAACACATAAAATTTAATGAGCAGTGGAAACTTTCCATTTTATATCTATCTATATATATAT